GCCCCCCCCAGCCGCACGAAACACAGGGGCCGGTCACGGTGTGGGGTGGCAGAGCTGGGGTGCTGCACAGGGGAGTCGGCGGCGGCCTGATCTTTCCACCTGCATGCCGGCCCGCTGCTGCAGCCTGCCAAGGAGAAAAAGGCGGCCGCCGAGCCTGCCGCCGCCGCTGCCGTGGAGGCTGCTCCCGCCGTGGAGGAGGCCGCTCCCGCTGTGGAGGAGCCCGCTCCGGCCCCTGCTAAGGAGGAGGAGCCCGCTCCGGCCCCGGCTCCGGTGGAGGCTGCTGTTGTGGAGGCAGCTCCCGCCGTGGAGGAGGCTCCCGCCGTGGAGGAGGCTGCCCCTGCTGTGGAGGAGCCCGCTCCCGCTCCCGCTGCCGCCCCTGTGGAGGCTGCTGCGGTGGAGGCCGCTCCCGCTGTGGAGGAGGCTGCCCCTGCCCCTGCCAAGGAGGAGGCCAAGCCTGCGGCCGCTGCCGGCGGCATCTCTGCTGCGCTGGTCAAGCAGTTGCGGGAGAGCACCGGCGCGGGCATGATGGACTGCAAGAAGGCGCTGGGGGAGTGCGGCGGCGACCTGGAGAAGGCAAAGGAGGTGGGTGCTGGCCGGCTGGCTGGCCTGGGCAGGCGAGCGGCGCCGGTTGGGCCTCCCTCGCAGCGCAGCTAGTCCTGCTGCATGCTGGGCAGCGCGAGGAGCAGGCTTGGGTGTCCCCGTCTGCTGCCTGCTGATGCACACGCCCCGCCTCCGCGCCGCCTGCTGCAGTTCCTGCGCAAGAAGGGGCTGGCGTCTGCCGACAAGAAGGCGGGGCGCGTGGCGGCCGAGGGCGCCGTCTGGTCCTATATCCACGCCGGCAGCCGCCTGGGCGTGCTGGTGGAGGTCAACTGCGAGACCGACTTTGTGGCTCGTGGCGAGAAGTTCCAGGAGCTGGTCAACGACATGGCCATGCAGGTGGGTGCTGCCCTTTTGACCCAGTGTTGACCGCGCCTCGACCTGCTGCCTCGACCTGCTTTTGAACAGCTTGCTGAGCTTGCCTGCGCCAGCCCTGCATATGGGAGGGCTGCCTGGCTTTCTAGCTTGCTTGCTGGCTGATGTCAGCATGGATTGCCTTCCGCTGCCCTCTGTGCTCACCCCGCAGATTGCCGCCTGCGCCGAGGTGACTGTCGTCAGCGCCGCCGATGTGCCTGCCGAGGTGCTGGAGAAGGAGAAGGCGATTGAGATGGAGAAGGAGGACATCAAGAGCAAGCCGGAGGCCATCCGGTGGGTGCAGAGGATGGGGCATCACTAGTAGGCTTAGTGTAGAGGAATTTGATGCTGCGCCGGCATCGCAGCCCAGCCCGGCTGAGGCGTGGTGGAGGGCTCAGGCACAGGCGGCTGTTCGGGAGGACCAGGCCACTGAACTGCCTGCCTGTGCCGCCTGCTCCTGCGCCCCGCAGGGAGAAGATTGTGCAGGGGCGCGTGGACAAGATTGCCAAGACCATGGCCCTGCTGGAGCAGCCGTACATCAAGGACAGCAGCAAGACGGTGGCGGGTGAGCCGAGCTGTGCCCGCCTGGCGTGCAGCCTGACCCTGTGCCGTGCGTGGTGCCGTACATCGCGCAGCGCGGCACAAACATGCTGGTGGTTGGGCTCTTACCTGCCCATCCCCAGACCTGCCAAGCAACCGACGTGTTGCCTGGCTTATGTCTCCCGCCGCAGAGGTGATCAAGGAGTCGATTGCGGGCATCGGCGAGAACATCCAGATCCGCCACTTTGAGCGCTTTGTGCTGGGCGAGGGCATCGAGGTGGCCAAGGCTGACCTGGCTGCTGACGTGGAGGCGCAGACCAAGGCCATGCAGGTGGGCGCGGCCTGTTCTTCTCTTCTTTCCTCGGCTGCCCCTTCAGCACTCGCTTCAACACTGGGATCCTGAAGCACCTTACACGGCGTGCAAAGTTACACGTGTGCACATTTGTTGGCTGCTCACCCCTGCCGCACGTGCTGTGCTGCTCGCCCCTGGCCCTGCAGGAGGCCGCTGCCAAGAAGGCGGATGCGGAGCCCAAGGCCGAGGAGGCCAAGGCGGAGGCCAAGCCCGCGGTGGCCATCAGCCCCGCGCTGGTCAAGCAGCTGCGCGACAAGTCTGGCGCGGGCATGATGGACTGCAAGAAGGCGCTGGCCGAGTGCGGCGGCGACGTGGAGGCCGCCAGCGAGTTCCTGCGCAAGAAGGGGCTGGCATCTGCCGACAAGAAGGCGGGGCGCGTGGCCGCCGAGGGCGCCGTGGGCTCCTACATCCACGCGGGCAGCCGCCTGGGCGTGCTGGTGGAGGTCAACTGCGAGACCGACTTTGTGGCTCGCGGCGAGAAGTTCCGGGAGCTGGTCAACGACATGGCCATGCAGGTGGGTGCTGCCGGCAAGGCTGCTGCACGGCACGCTCTGGTTGGGGGCTGGAGTCTTGGGCTCGGGAGGCTGCCAGGCATTGCCTGAAGAGGTGCCCAGTAGGTGCATGCATGCTGGCCATGCCGTGCAGCGGAGGCCTCACTCTGTGCCTGCCTCCGCCCGCCCCCTGTGCTCACCTCGCAGATTGCCGCGTGTGCGGACGTGCGGTACGTCAGCGCCGCCGACGTGCCTGCCGCTGTGCTGGAGAAGGAGAAGGCGATTGAGATGGAGAAGGAGGACTTGAAGAGCAAGCCGGAGGCCATCCGGTGAGCGTGGCTGGCCGGGGCTTGGCTTGCCTGCGGGGCGGCGCTGTGCGCGGTTCTGTTGGTCTGCATGTCCTGCTGCACGCGGTGCGTTTGGCCGCCAACCCGCGACGGCACCATGCTGCTGCTGACCGTCCCCGCCTGCCTGCCTGGGCCGCCCGTTCCTTCTTTCTTCCCCGCAGGGAGAAGATTGTGCAGGGGCGCGTGGACAAGATTGCCAAGGAGATGTCGCTGCTGGACCAGCAGTTCATCAAGGACACCAACAAGACGGTGGCGGTGAGCGCGCGGCGCGCGGGCCGCATCACGCCGCTCAGTGCGCCACATTTCTGCGGGCCCTTCCTTCAGCGGCTGCTTGTTTTTGCTGCCTCGACAACCAGTTCTTCCTTGTATGGATTGGTCCCGCCATCGCCTGGCTCGCCGCCTCACCTGCCGCTCCCTGCTTTCTTCCTGCTTTCTTCCCGCCCCGCAGGACCACATCAAGGAGCAGATTGCGGGCATCGGCGAGAACATCCAGGTCCGCCGCTTTGAGCGCTTTGTGCTGGGCGAGGGCATCGAGAAGAAGGCGGTGGACTTTGCCGCCGAGGTGGCGGCGCAGACTGGCGGCAAGCTCTGAGCACCAAGCGCTGCTGCAAGCGGCGACGAGCCATGTGCTCAAGCCCGGCACCAGGCTCGGGGCAGCAGGCTCGGACGCAATGCTGATCTGTAGGCAGTACCGGGCCGCAGCGTGGGACAGCTGCGGGTTTGCGCCCTCCCTTCCTCCACCCTTCTTTTCACCTCCTTTCTTCTTGCCCCCACCTTTTGACCCCCAGTATCACACTGTGCTTTTGTGCTCTGCGCATGCCGGTCTGTCTAACGTTTGGCCCCAGCCCGCATTCGGGCGGCGCTGATCTGTGCGCACATTTCATTGCTCTCGCCAGGCGCCCCATGCGGCTTTCTCCTGGCTTTCTCTGTTTCCCTCTTTTGCTACACGCTCAATCTCCCCTCCATGCTGTTCGACACACCCTAACTTTAACAGAGTTCTTACAAGCTAGATGCTGGGGGAAGAAGAAGGAGCCGACAGGGCATCCTTCTGAGAGGAGGCCGTGCAGCAAAAATGTGCTAGCGAGGTGGCACAGCCGCGTCGGGGTGTACAGAGGCGTTGCGTTGATGGAGGGCATGTGGGGTGCACTTGGAGCTGATGGTGGGCATCGAGTTGGGAGGTGCAGGTGCAGGTGCAATAGCAGAGAGAGAGTGCTACTGAGAGAGAGAAACCTGAACAGCTCCCCCAACACATAAGTGAAGCGATTCGGCGTGAAACGTGGTAAGGCAGGCCCGGAAGGGAGGGCGCATGTGCCAGGCAGGCGTGTGGCGCGCATCTGCATCATCAACCTGCCGAGGAACTGCGACAGGCAGGTGTGTGATAACGTGATCTGACACAGGATGAGTGAAGGCACACGTGCGCATGCGCGGCAGGGGGCTCAGACGCCGTTGGCGCCCTTCTCCGCCAGCTCGATTGGGGGCGGCACGCCGTCGGAGCCTGCAGGCGGCGCGCAGGGAGGCAGGGAGGCAGGGAGGCAGGTATGTGGGGTGAGGGGTGAGGGGGCCACGCGGCGCAGCCGAAACGCCCGCCGCTGCCGCGCCTGCTGCCGCCAAAAAACAATTCACGCAACGTGCGTTTGGCCTCCCCCGGCCGCTGCTGCCGCCGCCGCAGCCGCACTTACTCGGCTCGTCGTCGTCCTCCTTGGGTCCGATGCTGGGGTCGGTGTTGCTCTTCTCCTCCCCCATGTCCTCTGTAGCATACAGGTTGCCCAGCTTGGCCACCATAGAGGGGCGGGGAAGGGCCGGTGGCGCCTCCACCACCTCCTCCTCATTCTCCTCGTCGGCGTGCGGGAAGGTCAGCTGCAGAGGGGGGCGACGGGCACCCGGGCGGGCGGCGGTGACATGGAGGGACGCGGCAGCGCCAGCGAGCGCCCCGGCAGCCGGCCAGCAGCCGCTGCGGCGCCCCCCCCTGGGGTCCTGGGTCAGGCGCGGCGCGCGAAGGTGCCACAGGCGCATCTGCGGCAGGCAGGCAGGCTGACGTGGCAGGCAGGCTGGCGCAGCAGGCAGGCGGGGCGCACGTGGTATGCGATCTGGAAGGCAGTCATGGCATGCATGTCCTTGCCCGCCATCTCCTCCTCCTTGATGGACTTGTGGAAGAACTTGGCCTGAGGCAGGGCGGGGGGCGGGGAGAAGGAGCAGGCAGGGTGGGGGCAGGCAGTGAGCACGCAGGGTGGGGGGCGGCAGCTGTCGTCCTGACCACGCCATCCTGGCGTGTGCGTGTGTGTGTGCGCGCGGCATGCTGGTGTGTGTTCGTGTGTGTGTGCATGATGTGCGTGTGTGTGCTGCTCGGCAGCGGGCCAGGGCGCGGCGGCGTGGTGCGGCACGTGCCTGGGTGAGGAAGGTGAGGAAGAGGGCGCCGTTGATGATGCAGTACGAGATGATGCCGCCGATGATGCCTGCAGACGCACGCACAGGCAGAGCCCAGCACTCAGCCAGCACGGGGAGCGGGCACGCCACATCGGCGCGCAGCGAGCGCAGCGCAGCGCGGTGTGGTATGAGCTGCAGCGGGCGGGCGCCGCGTGGCCGCCGCAGCCCCGCGCCGCGGCGGGTGTGCCCCCCGCCGCAGCCCACCGTAGGCGATGGAATAGGTGAGGGGCATGGCTGCGATGGTGATGAAGGCGGGCACGCCCTCCTGGACCGTGCGCCAGTGGATGCCCAGCACATCCGACATCAGCATGGCGCCAATCTGCGGCCCACAGGGGCAGGGGCAGGCGAGTGCATGTTCGCAGTCTGCACATCCGCAAAGGAACTTGCGGCACAGGTGTGAGCAGGGCTGGACGAAAGCACGTGGGAGCAGGCAGGCAGCCGGCCTGAGGGGGTGCCGCCGCGCCTGCTGGCCCGCAGCTGCGTGCGCCGCCACCTCCGGACAGCAGAGCCGGCGCCGGCCGCCTGCTTCCCGCGGCGTGGCGTGCTGCGGCTGCTGCGGCTGCGGCTGCGGCGGCTCACCAGCACCAGCACAGGCCCGGTGGCGTAGGGTGGGATGGAGGCGAGGAGCGGGGCGAAGAAGAGGGAGAGGAAGAAATAGAAGGAGACGGTGAGGGCGGTGACGCCGGTGCGCCCGCCCTCGCGGATGCCCGCAGCAGACTCGCCCGCGATGGTGACGGGGGACATGCCCATGAGTGAGCCTATGGTGATGGAGGTGCCATCCACGCAGAAGGTGCGCGTCTGCCTGCGGTGGGGTGGGGCGGGGTAGGGTGGGGCGACATGCGCAGCGCGGGGGAGGATGGTGAGAGGGCGGGCGTGTGTGTGGGGTGGGGGAGCAGCAGGCGCGCGGCGAGGCAGGCAGGCCAGGCCATTCTTTGCGATTCTTCGCCAGCCAGCAGCGGGGCGCGGGGAGGGGCGGTGGGGGCGGGGGTGCACGGCGAGGCGGGCGCGCGCAGGCGGCGGCCAGGGATGTGTGCAGCGGGGCGGGGCGCGGCGTGCGTCGCGGGCGGCGCATGCCTGGGGAAGCGCTTGTTCTTCTTGTTGAGGAAGCCGGGGACGTAGAGGTTGACAAAGTTGGCCATGGAGAAGAGCTGCGGGGGGGCACAGCACAGCATGGCACAGCGTGGCACGTCGTGCACAGCGTGGCACAGCACGGCACGGCACAGCACGGCACAGCACGGCACGGCGCACGGCATGGCGCAGCGACAGCGACAGCGACAGCCAGCGGTGCCGTCAGGCCTGGGCGGGTGTCCCTGGCTAGGTGGAAGGCAAGGCCTGGCCAGGTGGAAAGCACGGCGAGGGCTCACCGTGCCGGTAGCGTCCAGGAAGTCGACATAGAGGAAGGTGATGAGGGCCTGCAGGCGGCGGGGCGCGTGGCAGGGGAGGGCGGGCAAGGCGGCGGCGGTCGGCCGCTGGGAATGCACATGCGCTGGCACAGGCCCCGCCCTCGTGCCTCCCACCCCACGCCCCCACGCTGCCGCAGCTGGTAGGGCCGCCGCGTCAGACAGAGGAGGGCGGCTTCAAAGCCGGCAGCCAGGCGCAGCCCAGCCGGGCGGCTCACCACCCAGAAGTCGCTGCTGCCCATGCCGCCAAAGTCGAGGAGGCCGGCGGTCTTGGAGATGTTTGGTACCGCCACCACCTCTTTGAAGTAGTCCCAGCGGTACATGGCGGGGGTCCACTGGTCCTGCGGGGTGTCACCCGGCTTCTGCAGGTACCGCGCGCCGTTGCCGTCGGATGGGATCCTGCGGCGAGTGGCGCGGCGCGGCGGCGGCGGCAGGCGGGTA